GGCTTTTCTCCTCCCCGCAAAAAAAAAAAAACAAATCAAAAAGCCCGGCGAGGAGCTGAGCTTGCATCTGCAACTGTGCAAAAGAGCCGGGGGTTCCCCCCGCTTTTCTTTGGAAGGGGCACTGCCCCCCTCCACGCCCCGGCTCAGCTCCTAGGGACAGCCAGGCCCCCCGCCCTGGGGAAGGGGCTCCAGCCAGGGGGGAAGCTGGAGAAGAGGGAAGTCACCCACACGCATATACACATGTATGTGTGTGATCATATATAAATAATAATATACATGTGTTAGTGTGTGTGTGTGTGTGTGTGTGTGTACACACACACACACACACACACACACACACACACTTGGTGTCTGCACCCAGGCCAGATCTAGGTGCAAAGCCAGCGCATGTCCTTGGAAAGCGATAAGTCCAACTTTCTTGCAGGGGAGACAAGTGTACGTATTCATGTTTAAAGCCTTGTGGGGCCTGCAGAGCCCGGTGGGGTGCTGGGGGCATTTGCACCAGCATCCCCGTCGTAGCAGGCTGGGCCGTCGCAGTGCTCCAGTCTGCAGTGACCACGCCTGCCCTGGTCCACTACACGGGGTTCAGCTGCACCAAGATGCCCTGTTTGACGTTTTCCTACACACCGAGCTGTCCAGTGCCGCATTCGGGAATGTTTCCCCCTCTGTTCCCACTGATCTGCCCTGTGTCGGTGGGAAGTAACCTCCAGGCATTCGTGGCGTTTGGTGCCTGTTGTTAGAGGGGAAGGAGACCATACAACTGGGGCGGGAGAAAGCATCGGGCCACCCTCTCTTCCCTCTGGTCTCACACCCTTCTCAGAAGGGGCTTGAGGCCTGAAGTCCAAAATACAGCCACCTCCCCCAGCAATGCCCCAGGCTTTTGACTTGCTGCTGGGACTGGAAATGGAGAAGACAGTGGAGCATTAGAAAAGGGGGTTAAAAAAAAAAAAAAAGAGTGGCTAGATTTGCAGCTTCAAGTGTGCAGTCCCAAGAAGTTGACCGACTTCTGGATGTTCCTCCAACCAACCCAGCTGCAAACCCTCCCAGGTCCGGCCCTCTCTGCTGTAAACACAAGGATTCAATTACACTTTTTTGGCTGCATTTCTAAAGCCAGAAGAACCCTTTAAAAGCTAAGTCTAGAACAAAAAATACGGGAGCTCTTTACACAAGAGGTTCTTGTTCCCAGAGCTCCCATGCCGAGCCATAAAAGAGCACGACAGGTCCAGGAGAGGCAGGCAGAAGCGGCTCCAAATTTAGATTTTACAAAACGTAAAAATAAAATAATAACAACAACTCTCCTTTTTAAATGGAAGCAGCAAACACTCCCCGGGCAGCTTTTAGCCCCAAACAGGACAGGAATTGAAGCAGACTTCAATGCCTCTTTGTCTTGGATGGGAGAAATGCAACAAAAAAAGTAAACAGACTGCCACAACAGAGACAAGCAAACTGGGATCTTGCAAGCAGCCCTGGTGTTCGTCCAGAGCTCGTCACGAGAAATCAAGAAAGTATTTGAAATGGGGTGTTTAATAAAAAACAAAGCCCCCCAAAACGCAGCCACCTGTAGTTGCGTTGGTGTTGGGGAAACGGGTCGCATTGTCAGTGTTTTCCAGAGATATTCTTTAAAGACTATTTTTAGGTTTCTGCCACAGTGCTTGAAGTATTTCCTCCCCCCCCACATATAAGCATCCTTCTGCAACAGAAGATGCTTCCTACACTGCGTGGAAATTCAGAGTCTAACCTCACCTGTAGGAAAGATTTAAGGTGGGATTGGGGGGGGGGGCAAAGAAATCATGGAAAGGAGGGCTGGAAGGGATGGTCACATCCAGCCCAACCCCCTGCTCAAAGCAGGACCAGCCCCAACTCCATTATCCCAGCCAGGGCTGTCTACCTGGGTCTTCAACACCTCCTAAAGGTAGAGAGTCCCCAATTTCTCTGAGTAACCTGTTCTGATGCTCCATCACCCTCCTAGCGAGAGAGCTTTTCCTAATATCCAACCTCAACTTCCCTTGCTGCAACCTGCGCCCATTGCTCCTTCTGTCGTCTGCCCCCACTGAGACCAGTCTAGCTCTTAACACGGATCTCCTCATTAAAAAAGGACCGCGCGTTTCCTTGTTGAAGCCATTCAGTTCAATCCCTAAGCTTCTCTCCGGTCCGACTTTTGGCCTGGCTTATGTCCGCTGCAGCGTGGTTGCTTTCCCAAGCTTGTAAGAACAGCGATCACCCGTCAGCCAAAGGGATCTCGACACAAGCCGTTAGGTGGCACCGTTTAGCTTTGTTGTCAGAGTCTAATTTTTCCCCTTGGAAAATAACCCACCACAGAGGAGGCTGGCAAACATCTCACTTGGGCGCTCTTAAAACGCTCCTGAGCAATAGGATGATGATTATTTTTCTTGACGCGACTTCCCATCCTTGTTTTCCACAGCCTGGCGTTTCTGCTCGCCTTCTTTCAGGCTCAGCAGACGGGAGGCTTTCGGTCTCTCTTCCCCGGCCGGACAGCCAGGATGCTCCGGCCAGGAGCTTTTAGAGGCATCGTGATTTTTTGGCTTTTTTCCTTCCTAATAACTATTCGGGCAATAGCTGCTTATTGACTCAGCCTGACCCCACCGGGGGGGAGGGATTGGAAGTGAAATTCTCCCAAGAGATCTTTGATCTGTTTTGCCAGTCAACAAGAAAAAAAACCCCAAAAAAACAAACACTCGCTTAGAGACGAGATCTTTTCTTCCTGGAACACAGCAGCAATCCGCTCTTCTGAAAAATCATTATTAGGCAGCCTCTGAATATTTTAAATCGGGGGGGGGGGGGGGGTGTGCTTCTTGTGCGAGGCAAGAGCTGTAGTCTTACTGTGCAGTGCTATTTGAAGCCAGCAATCCCAGCATTTAAAACTGGAAAACACACAACACACCTATATAACCAGCCCCCCTCCCTTTTTTTCCCCCCCCACCCCTGTAGGGTGGATTGGTCTCAAATAGATTCCCTGAGCAATTTGAGCTGTTAAAAGAAGCCCCCTCCAGGCTGCTAGAACGCAGCCCAGGTTTGCTCCCCAAGTCCTGATCCTTTAGGCCTTTAATGCAATATTGGGAATAATTATTACAAGGCTTTGGTCCTTGAGAGGAGAACGGGGGGGGGGAACACCAGGGACTCCTGGACTCAGGTTAGAGTTTCTGCTCAAAGTCCAGGGGAGTTTTGCTCCAGTCCGTTATCCATGGGCAAATAGATGGTCCACGGGCACGGGTCCCCAAATCCATCCAGACAACCCTTGATGAGACCTAGCCCCCTCCCCTGCCTCAGCCCACGCTTTCTGGCTCGGATCTGCCGTGCGTGTGCGTGCGCTCACACGGAGCTCGGCTCCTTTTCTAACCCCTGCTCACACCTCCCTTCCCAAGCCAGACTTTGAAGGATGGGAGGAGGGAGAAGCCACCGCTCTTTACAAGATCTCACTTGCTGCGGAGTTCCCTGCCCCACTTCTCAGCCCGTCAAGGTTATTTCAGCACGTTTCCAAATATTGTGACTGCACAAGAAACACACACAAAAAAACCAAAACAGCTCCAAAACAACCGCCCCCCCTCCCGGCAACTCCCCCGGGCAGCCGGCAGGTGGCGCTGCTGCCCCACACACAGGAACACACGGCTCACTTTTCACAACAGGGTGCCCCCCCCCATTTCGGGACTGGGGGGGGAGGAGAAGAGTGGGGGTTGACATCAAGTCCCAGCTGGCATTGACACAGCAAACTGGAACTCTTCAATTAAATAAATAAATAAATAAATACACACACACAAATCACCCCCCCCCCCCCCCCCGACACATGCACACACAAATCACACGCGCACACAATCACAGCTTGCTGCCCTCCCCAGCCCATCTCCCACCATGGACTTGAGCTGGGCTCGGGCAGCGTACCCCGCTCCCACCCCACGACACCCGGGGCAGGGACCCCACGCTCGCCCCGGTGCCTCCCCGCTAACACGGGCTGGGCTTGCCACAGCGGCACTGGTCCCCCCCCCGGGAAAACAAATGTGCTCGCGGCTCTCTTTGCTCCGGAGCCGCGCGGCTACCTCCAGGAATAGCGTGTGGAAAGGGGCCAAGCTGAACTTCACTTGAGCTGCAGATTTACGAGGCCCGTCTCTCTGCCAAGGGCTCGGCGGTAGTAAACAGTGCATACACCAGGCATAACCCGGGGGGCTGTCCCTGGGCCCGAGAGCAGGGAACATTGGGGGGCGCGGCGGTGCTGGGCGCTGCCTGCATCCCATCCGCAGAGGCCCTGTGAACTCATTGCACTGACTGTTTCCTTTTCGGGCGTCCCCCCACACTTTGCAATTCACTGCCATGGAGCTGGGGACCCCCATCACAGGTGAGCCCCAATTAGCTCCTTTCCCCCCCAGTTTCCCAAGCTGCTCTGTGTGCCTCGGTGACCCCCTCCCCCACCAAAGTGGCTGGATTTGTGCATCCCCAGCCAGATCCAGTTTGCCCAACAGCCCCTAACTCGCAGGCAGGAC